CTTCAGTATCCTTCCGTACCCTTTGTAGCCCTGGCTTGGTTTTCATGAATTCCTTTAGTTTTGTTTACCAAGGAAGGTTTTAGTTTAAGCATCAATTGTGACTGTTCAGTTTTGCTGGGTATCCTAGTTTAGGCTGGCAGTTCTTGTTCGGAGCTTGAATTATAACAATCCAGGCTATCCTTGCATTGAGAATTTTATGGGAAAATCTGCAGTTATTCTAATCTTCTTTCCATTTTAATAAAGTTCCCTCTTTGATTTTGCTGCCTTTACAATTCATACCTTGTTTCTTTTTTTGTTTTTTGTTTTTTTATTAATAAGTTTTTTATTGTGAAAATACTGTACAGAGGGGTTACAATTACATGAGCAAAGTAATGAGTACACTTCTTATCAAGCATTGTTGCCTCCTCCTTTTTTTCCCTTACCATCCCTGCCCTCCCATCTCCAGGAATATACTCCCCCCCCAAAAAAAAAGTTGTAAACTTCATTTTTTGACATAGTATCTTGTACATCTCATTGTTGCAACGGGTCCACCTGTAACCCTATTTAAACCATTTGTTTTTTCTTTTCTCCTCCCCAAATTATACCGACATCATTCCTTGTTTCTTAAGTCCAGAGTTCTCACAAATGATGTGTCTAGGAGTGTGTCTTCTCTGGTCTTGCCGCTTGGAGTTCTGTACCCCTTTATCCGATGGATCAGGTTCTCCTTGAGATTGAGGGAATTTGATGGTATTATCATGTTGAATACATTTGCAACACCTTAATTTTCAATTCTTCTCCCTCATCTATTCTGATTATATGAAGATTTGATCTGGCCAAATCCAGTAGTTCTTGAACAGCCTTTGATATGTTCTGAGTGGTTTTCAGTGCCTTAGCCTGTTTCCCCTAACTCCTCTGCTTCCTCTTCAACTCCTGACAGCCTGTTTCCAACTCTCTTTGTTCTATTTCCTTTGCTTTCAGTCTGTGCCTAAAATAGGCACTTACTGCCCCTTACTGCTGTAATCACGTACATCCTGCATTTTCCTCATTTTGTCTTGCTTTTTGTCCACCTTTTCTTGGAATTCTTCTAGTTGTTCACAGCTCTGTTCTTCCATTTGTGGTTTTATTTTGTTGGCCATTTCTCTCAGTGTGGCGTTAGTGATTCATCTTCCCTCTCCCTGGCATTCTCCTCTGTGTTGCTGGTGGTTTTGAGAGTGGCAAGTTGTCTCCTTCGATCATGGCTTTCCTGATCTTTCACTGTGATGTGCACTTCTGGGTCCAGGGCCTGTAAAGACTTCAGTGTGGGACTAGATTTCCATCCTGATTGGGAGCGGTGACGTGAGCGCTTCACCACGGTGTTGGCAGGGCTTGGTACCGCACTCCCCCCGGGGCTCCTGCGGGCCTCCTTCAGGTGAGAAAAGAGTGTGGAGAAACTGTGCTCACGGCTCTCCTGCTGCCCTCAGAGAGCCATGGGCCACAGATGCTCGGAGCTGGGCACCGTTTGCCTCAGGTTCTCTGATATCCGCCAGTCCTCTGAGCCTTCAGATCTGAATGGTCAGTCTGTATTGCTTTGTTGGGAGATCCTTGGGAGTTCAGTTGCATGGGCAGAAGGCTGTATGGGTCAGCTTGCTGTCATGCAATGTGCTGTGAAGATACACATTGCATGGAAACACATACTCTATGAAACCACACACCCTGAAGACACATAAACAATGAGAAAACATCCTGTGAAAACAGGTATGACCTGAGAACATGCATGATCTGAGAACACGCATGACCTGAGAACACGTGTGAACTGAGAACACGCGTGACCTGAGAACACGTGTGAACTGAGAACACACGTGACCTGAGAACACGCGTGACCTGAGAACATGCGTGACCTGAGAACACACGTGACCTGAGAATGCGTGTGACCTGAGAATGCGTGTGACCCAAGAACACGCGTGACCTGAGAACATGTGTGACCTGAGAACATGTGTGACCTGAGAATGCGTGTGACCTGAGGACACGTGTGACCTGAGAACACACGTGACCTGAGAACACGCGTGACCTGAGAACATGTGTGACCTGAGAGCACGTGTGACCTGAGAACGCGCGTGACCTGAGAACGCGCGTGACCTGAGAACGCGCGTGAACTGAGAACACGCGTGACCTGAGAACACACACTGGAAGGCACCAGTCATCAGAAGACATATTGTGACAAGATACATGCTGTGAAGACAAACACCCTATGAAGGTGTGCACAGAAATGACACACAAATAAGAATAAACACATGGTTTTGAACCTACTGTGAAATGTACATATAACCATATAAAATGATATTTATCAAAATGAACTCCAAGAAATGTCAACATGAGGTTTTTGGTTTCTTGTGGATTTTTTCTCCTTTCTCGCTATTTTTATTATTATTATTATTTCTGTGCCTTTTGTCCTGTATGTACGTTTATCTGGGGGAGCACAGAAATGGGGGACAAAGGCCAACAAATGCAGCAGTGATACTCACTAAACACTATGTTGAAAATGAACTGTACAACTGTTTGGGGGTTAGGGGCCAGGAAGGGAAAACTAGGAGAAACTAAGGGAAGAGCTGGCACTGTTCAAAAAGAAATAAACTCATTACCCGACTTACATAATTGGAACCCCTCTGCAGATCGCCTTTACAATAACAATAAAGATAAATAAATATGCTGTTGAGACATACACACAGACACATACACCATAATGACGGACCCTGAAGTCACACGCTCCATGACCATGTCCGTGGTTCGGGGTGACAAACGCTGAGGACACAGGCACTTCGCGATATATGCGCTGATGACGCATGAATGCTGGACAGAGCTGCACAGGTGCGCACTGTAAAGAGAGCGCGCTGAGGACACGCACCTGATGATGGCTCACACTGCATGAGTTGGAAGACACGTAACTGTGAAGACGCACACTCCGTTAATGCAAACACACCACTAGGGCACACCCCCAGGGGTGCCCGTACTGTCCGACACACTGAAGACACAGCACATGGAGACTTGCAGGATGGGCAGGTGAAGGAGGGATGGTGCGGAAATGAAGGGAAGATAGCAGTGAAGGTGCACTCTGTGCAGAACCTGCCATGTTGAGTCATAATGCCGTTGTGCCGCTACTTAAAAAATGAAAATGTCTCTAAGGAAATTTACATCATAATTACTATGCTACTACTTATATGCCAATGGATGCACTGTGCTGGGATTTTGCACGTGTGTGTTGGTATCGTACGTGTGCTGTATCTGAGGAGGACGGCTGCTCGGCCCGCCTGGCCCGGTGACAGGTGGACACGGGACCCTGGGCCTCGCCCAGCACAGTTCGGTCTTCCCAGCCTCCCTCCCGCCCCTGCCACGCCCAGAGGGTCACAGGCGGCGGTGACAAATCCATTGTGAAAGTTCAGATTTGAAATGCGTGTTTTCAGAATGTCTCCTCTAAGTGGAAAGCATTATTCTTTTTTTCTTTTTTTTTTGGCAGTCCTAGGGCTTGAACTCAGGACCTGGGCGCTGTCCTTGAGCTTCTTTGCTCAAGGCTAGTGCTCTATCACTTGAGCCACAGCACCATTTCAGCTTTTTCTGTGTATGTGGTGCTGAGGAATCGAACCCAGCGCTTTGTGTCTGCTAGGCAAGCACTTGGCCACATTCGCAGCCCAAGTACCCCATTCTCAAAGAACAGAGGGAAAGCTGTGTCCTCAGCAGAGAACAGAAGCCTGCCTGTCTTCCACTTTAGCGTGTGTGGGGACCCCATGTGCTCTCCCGGGCAGGGGGCCCAGGTGGTCTGGGCCCTGCACTCGGAACTTTCCACATGTAAAAGTTGGTTTGTTTTCCATTTTCCTTGTGAAAATACAAGCTCTCACTGGAGCCTGTGATCTTTAAATGTTTTAAAATGAAAATAGAAAGTGTCTCAGAGTAAAACAGCTGTCAGCACTTTCTTTCACTGACTACAGGATGCTAAATGGTAGTTGGACCATAATTTCTTGCTAATTAACACGTTCCAAATCGTCACTTCTGTGGGTGACCCTCGATGCGGCCTTGGAACTTGTGTGGCCACATTGTGTTTTGTAACTTCAGGGGAACGATTGTGTGTGTGTCTGCAGGGTGTGACTTCTGTCCCTTTTGATTGACACTTGTGTTTGGAAACGAAGGTTTAATTAGAGCATCCACATGGCTGCAGTCTTTTATGTTGAGTCTTTTGCCTTCCAAGTTTGGTTTCTCGAGTGCTGGCTGCCTCAGTTAGGCATTCACAGGCTTGATTACAGTAATTCCTCTACTCTGCCCTCCTTGAGGTTCTAACCAAGAGAGGGCGGCAGACTGGAGTGCTGCTCCTGCTCTCCAGGAGCACAGCAGCACTTGCCTTTCAAAGTGCATTCTCTCTTGATTACGTATTTGTGCTTCGTGCCTCAGTAGTGTCGGTCTTTAAATCTGCTTGTTGGATGGAGAGCCGTGTGGCCCTGCAGCTGCACGTCTGTCAGGGTCAGGCGCGCGCTGATCTCAGGGGTGGCGCACGCGCCCCGCTCAGGTCCCTCTGCGGTGGAGACCTGGCAGCGTGCTCCGCTCCTCACCCACCAACGTCCTCCCGGGATGTGTGTGCTCCAGCCCCTCCCACAGCGTCTTTGCTGGCGCAGCAGCGCTGTGAGCCCCTGAAGGGTCGTGGGGCCAGAGGCTCCCCTTTCCACGCTGCACCAAGGACAGTGAGTCTGCACCAGGCCAACCACAGGCATGCCTCGCCAGCTCCCTCCAAAGGCCTGGCCACGCTGCCTCTCAGGAAAAGGGCAAGAATGGGCCAGGCTGGGGAGCCCCTCCCGGGAGCCCAGTTCCACGCCTGCGGGGAGGAGAGGCAGACCCCAGGCCATCTGCATAAATGTCTCTGAATGGGAACTGTCATGGCATAGCTCCCACGGCTGTCTTAGGCCAGAGGTTCAAGAGCCCCTTGGTGACAGTTTGGCCATGCCAAAGCCGGGCCGGGCAGGCGGAGGGCACACCGCTGAGCTCTCTCCTTTCTCTTCCAGCGGCCACCTATGCCAACTACAAGAAGACGCCCCCGCCAGTGCCCCCTCGGACCGTCTCGAAGCCTCTGATCTCAGTGACGGCCCAGAGCAGCACGGAGTCCACCCAGGACGCCTACCAGGCTCAGAGGATGTCCCCGTGGCCCCAGGACACCCGCGGCCTGTACAATTCCACAGACAGTTTGGACAGCAACAAGGCCATGAGCCTGGCTCTGGAGACAGCCGCTGCACAGCGCCACGCGGCCGACAGCCAGAGCGGCCCCATCCGGACCAGCGACAAGGCCATCCTGGTGTCCAAGGCCGAGGAGCTGCTCAAGAGCCGCTGCTCCTCCATCGGAGTGCAGGTAGCTCCCTCTGCTGCCGCCCGCTGCCACACCGAGTGAATCAGAGCCTGAGCCGCGGCCCACAGCAGGCCCACAGCAGCCCCAGCGTGCTGTGTGCACGCCCCCTGCCAGCTGCACCCCGAGGCCCCGGCAGGGGGCGGCCCGGCTCACACCCAGCGACGCCCTCGGGGACTTGTGCCCTGTGGGGGAGGGGGACGCACCACGAGTGGGTTTGTGTGGGGTTTTTAGCTCTTCGGTTCCTAAAGGGTCCCGGGAGTGGCGAGGACGGGGCTGAGGCGGGCACCGCCGGGCGGGCGTGTGGCCGAGGCCCTGGCCGCGGATGCCTCGAGGTTTGGGACCCCGCTGGGTGACTGGCCCGGCTAGGCCCGGGACGTCTGTGTGTGTGCACACAGCGGTGCCGCTCCTTTCTGACACGGTGGCTGCCGGCTCTGGCTCCTTTCTGTTTCCGCAAGCCTGCTTTAAAAGCAAGGAGGTGCTTGAATCCAGAGCCGGGCCCGCCACTGCCGCCGCCGCCGCCGCCGCCGCCGCCGCTGCCACCTGCCCAGCCCAACGGGGCGGCTTCGCAGAGTGGCCCATCGAGGGAGGCCGTGGCCGGCACGGCCACCACTTGCTTCCTCCGCCCCTCCACCAAGCCGCGTGCGGTGGGTGTTAGAGGTCAGACCTGCAGGGAGGCCGGCCTCTCGCACGGGCGTGGGAGGCCAGCCAGGACAGGCAGCCGCGGGGGCACCGGCCCGCTGGCCTGCTCCTGGGGCCAGGTCTCCACTGTGGCTTCATTGTTTTGTTTAGGACTCTGAATTCCCAGAGCACCAGCCATACCCAAGGTCAGATGTAAGTACCGACTGTCTCCAAAGCCACGTGCGCATGACATTCATCCACTCCCTTCTTGGGTTCCTCATCCGACTGCCCTCTCCCCTCTCCGTCCCGTCCCTATGTGCCAGGCTCTCTGCTAGGTGCTCCGTCCTGCTGCATGGACCCTGGGCATCACAGGGTGCAGACCAGCCCCGTGGAGGAGCGCGGCCGGGCTCACACCACGCAGCCCGGGGCACCCGGAGCTCTCTCCAAGGGGGACAGCCTGTGTGTCGGCCTTGCCGTCCCCCGCCTCACCTCACACCTGGGCCCAGCCCGGGGAGCTCTGCCCTGAGCGGAGGCCCACGCCTCCTGTGTCTCCCCATCCTGACAGGACAGCAGCCTCCCACACCACGTGGTGGGCCTCTGCCCCTCACCCCAGCACCTAGCACAGCCCCTGGCACAGAGTGAGCGCTGCGTAAGTGTTGAGTACGTGAGTAGATGGTTGAGTGCCGGTGCCTGGTGGAGACGCCTGTGAGCCATGTTTAACAGTGGTTTATTATTTGAGCTCATAACATCACAATTGTCAAAACGAAGTCAGTAGAAAAGCTGAAAAAAAATGTAATCAAGAAGTGTCTGGATTTTAGAAATAGCCAGAGAAATTAGGTGCGACTGGGAGACTTTGTCCTGAAAGAGTAGAGACCAAAGACTGGGCGCGAACCGGACATTAAGCAGGGCAGACCCCAGCACGAAAGACGGCATCAGGGCTCCCCAGACAGAGCAGAAGGAAGTGAGTCCTTCTGTGGACAAGTCTCCGTGTCCCACGCCGGGCGCCCTCACTCACCGCAGTCCCATGTAGTCCTGCGTGCAGTGTCACTCATCCCTGTCTGCGTGTGGGCCGGGGGAGGCCAGGGAGGCCGGGGTCAGAGCAGAGGCCGGGGGAGGCCGGGGAGGCCGGGGGTCAGAGCGGAGGCTGGGGGAGGCCGGGGAGGCCGGGGGTCAGAGCAGAGGCCGGGGAGGCCGAGGAAGGCTGGGGGTCAGAGCAGAGGCTGAGGGAGGCTGGGGAGGCCGGGGGTCAGAGCGGAGGCCGGGGGAGGCCGGGGAGGCCGGGGAGGCCGGGGGTCAGAGCGGAGGCTGGGGGAGGCCGGGGAGGCCGGGGGTCAGAGCAGAGGCCGGGGGAGGCCGGGGAGGCCGGGGGTCAGAGCGGAGGCTGGGGGAGGCCGGGGAGGCCGGGGGTCAGAGCAGAGGCCGGGGAGGCCGAGGAAGGCCGGGGGTCAGAGCAGAGGCTGAGGGAGGCTGGGGAGGCCGGGGGTCAGAGCGGAGGCCGGGGGAGGCCGGGGGAGGCCGGGGAGGCTGAGGGAGGCTGGGGGAGGCCAGGGAGGCTGGGGAGGCGGGGGAGGCCAGGGAGGCCGGGGGTCAGAGCGGAGGCCGGGGGAGGCCGGGGGAGGCCAGGGGTCAGAGCGGAGGCCGGGGGAGGCTGGGGAGGCCGGGGAGGCCGGGGGTCAGAGCGGAGGCTGAGGGAGGCCGGGGGAGGCCAAGGAGGCCAGGGAGGCCGGGGAGGCCGGGGGTCAGAGCGGAGGCCAGGGAGGCCGGGGAGGCTGGGGGAGGCCGGGGAGGCGGGGGTCAGAGCGGAGGCCGGGGGAGGCCGGGGGACGCCGGGGGTCAGAGCGGAGGCCGGGGGAGGCCGGGGGAGGCCGGGGGTCAGAGCGGAGGCCGGGGGAGGCCGGGGGAGGCCGGGGGTCAGAGAGGAGGCCAAGGAGGCCGGGGAGGCCCGGGGTCAGAGCGGAGGCCAGGGAGGCCGGGGAGGCCGGGGGTCAGAGCAGAGGCTGTGGCCACAGCCCCGCTCACGCCCCGCTCGCTGCTTCCTAAAGCTGCAGACCCGTCCTGTGCCTGGCCCGGCCTGGCCCCCTCGGGGCCTGCGGGCATGGAATGCTGGCACGCGCCGCTGTCCTGCCGCTGGTGGTGCGTGGTACCTGCTGTGCGGGGCAGCCCTGTCGCCACGTGACCGTGTGTGTGAAACTGTACGGGCCTTCAGTGGACGGGGGCCCGTGTGGCTCCGGGGCCTGCGCACTCTGTGCAACGCGCGCGGCGGCCACCATCCCGGGCAGGCTGTGAGATGTGATGAGGGTCCTGGGGGGTCGCATGATGACGTCCTGTGAGAGGTGGACTCCGGGCCCCCCAGACACCCGCACCTGCCCCAGGCCCGGCCCGCTGGCCTGCTCTCCGCTCAGGCTCCAACCCCCGGGGGCAGAGGGCCAGCAAATCACACTGCTCGCCAGGCCGTGGACGCGTCCCCGAGGGAGGCACCTGCTGTGTGGAGGGCAAAGGTTTGGGGTCAGCGCTTGGTCCAGGTTAGTGGGGAGTCCCACGCCAGCCCCAGATTCACCCCTCGGCTCCTGTAGGAACCAGGCTCAGGCAGGACCCCTCCGGGAACCTGGCCCAGGGCTAGACAGCACCAGGGTGCAGGGGTGGCCCGTCCTGCCCCAGCCCAGACCCCACAGGTCACCCCAAGCATGAAGGCACACACCCCAGACACTCCAGATTCCTTGCTTCTCACACGGACGGGACACAACAGCCCTGCTACCCATCCTCCCGGCCCAGCTCCACAAAGGCCCCGGCACAGCCAGGAAGAGCCGCGCTGGCCGCCGGCAGGCCCCGGCACAGGGCTCCGTCTCCCACAGCCGCTTGTTGGGTCCTCCTCCCGTTGGCCCCTGCTTCTCAAAGGGTTCGTTCACAGTGCTCACACACAGTCAGCTCCTAGAAGTAAGGGATCGTCAGAACTAAAACTCACCCCTGCTGGTGGCCAGAATTTCCCCCAGGAAGGAAGTTCCTCAAGGCTCCATTTCTACTGCACAAAGCTAATTGTTCACCTTGCCCTACATTTGCTTGCTTTTTTGTCTCCTATAAGGCTTCCCTTCTCTGAGAATTTCTGAAACTAACAAATGTTTAGCTCCTTCTGCCACATGGGGATTTGCCTTCCCAGATGGAGAACGTCACTGCTTGCTGAAAGGTTACATGTTCAAGCATGTTGGAACTGGCAGCACGTATCAACTGCGCTCTCCTTTACATGCATGCGTGTGCCTGCGCTCTCATTTACCACACACGCGTGTGCCTGCACTCCCGCCATGCATACGTGTGCCTGCGCTCTCATTTACCACACACGCGTGTGCCTGCACTCCCGCCATGCATACGTGTGCCTGCGCTCTCATTTACCACACACGCGTGTGCCTGCGCTCTCATTTACCACACACGCGTGTGCCTGCACTCCCGCCATGCATGCATGTGCCTGCGCTCTCATTTACCACACACGCGTGTGCCTGCACTCCCGCCATGCATGCATGTGCCTGCGCTCTCATTTACCACACACGCGTGTGCCTGCGCTCTCATTTACCACACACGCATGTGCCTGCGCTCTCATTTACCACACACGCGTGTGCCTGTGCTCCTGCCATGCATACGTGTGCCTGCGCTCTCATTTACCACACACGCGTGTGCCTGCGCTCTCATTTACCACACACGCGTGTGCCTGCGCTCTCATTTACCACACACGCGTGTGCCTGTGCTCCTGCCATGCATACGTGTACCTGCGCTCTCATTTACCACACACGTGTGTGCCTGTGCTCCTGCCATGCATACGTGTGCCTGCGCTCTCATTTACCACACACGCATGTGCCTGCGCTCTCATTTACCACACACGCGTGTGCCTGTGCTCCTGCCATGCATACGTGTGCCTGCGCTCTCATTTACCACACACGCGTGTGCCTGCGCTCTCATTTACCACACACGCGTGTGCCTGTGCTCCTGTCATGCATACGTGTGCCTGCGCTCTCATTTACCACACACGCGTGTGCCTGCGCTCTCATTTACCACACACGCGTGTGCCTGCGCTCTCATTTACCACACACATGTGTACCTGCGCTCTCATTTACCACACACGCGTGTGCCTGCGCTGTCATTTACCACACACGCGTGTGCCTGCGCTCTCATTTACCACGTGTGTGCCTGCGCTCTCATTTACCACACACGCGTGTGCCTGCGCTCTCATTTACCACACACATGTGTACCTGCGCTCTCATTTACCACACACGCGTGTGCCTGCGCTCTCATTTACCACACACGCGTGTGCCTGTGCTCCTGCCATGCATACGTGTACCTGCGCTCTCATTTACCACACACGCGTGTGCCTGCGCTCTCATTTACCACACACGCGTGTGCCTGCGCTCTCATTTACCACACACGCGTGTGCCTGTGCTCCTGCCATGCATACATGTACCTGCGCTCTCATTTACCACACACGCGTGTACCTGCGCTCTCATTTACCACACACATGTGTGCCTGTGCTCCCGCCATGCATACGTGTGCCTGCACTCTCATTTACCACACACGCGTGTACCTGCGCTCTCATTTACCACACACATGTGTGCCTGCTCTCTCATTTACCACACACATGTGTACCTGCGCTCTCATTTACCACACACGCGTGTGCCTGCGCTCTCATTTACCACACGCGTGTGCCTGCGCTCTCATTTACCACACACGCGTGTGCCTGTGCTCCTGCCATGCATACGTGTGCCTGCGCTCTCATTTACCACACACGCGTGTGCCTGCGCTCTCATTTACCACACACGCGTGTGCCTGCGCTCTCATTTACCACACACGCGTGTGCCTGCGCTCTCACTTGCCAGGCGTGTGTGCATGTGAACCTCCCAGAGATGCTCAGAGCAGGGGTAAAGGGCAGGAATTTGCATTTGCTGCAGACTTCCCTGGCTAGTCTCAGGACATGGATGTTTGTTGTCTCCCATCGAGCAACGATGCAACAAAATTTAAGGCTTTTCCTTTCGTCTTTCTACCAGCTGGGCCCCAAAGCTGTATTCTTCTAATTCACTAGAAAAATAGAAACATTGTATTAAAGACCAAAACAGTTTTGTTACGTTCCCCTCAGCTCCTTCAGTCGCTCATGCAGGTTCCGTGCTGTCTGTGGACATACGTGTTCCTACGTGTGAGTGACCACGCAAGGTCCCTTTTCCAGCCTGTCCCCACAACTCTCAAACATGTCCAAATTTAAGACTGCTTTTCTATACTGGAACACGACACACATCTTCAACATTATTATACTAGAAATGTGTGCTCTCTTATTAAAAGTATCATGCGAGTTGAGTTCACCCATGTCTTACAACCAGAGCGATACAACACAATCACCTTTGTGTGGATGGGTCATGCACGAAGATGGATGTGGACATGAGTGTGTTCATAAGCTTGCGCTTAAATACAAATATGGCTGTTTTTATAGCCGCATCATAGTAATGACAGAAAACCAGAAATCATCAAATGACCCCTGCACTGACAGCTCTTAATCGTGTGCACTTAGAGCACAAGGTGGCTCCGTGTGTCCTGGCGGGGAATTTTAAATGTTGATTTTTCGTATGAGCTTCTGGTAGGAAGTATGAATAATCTCCGTGTTCTGCAAGATATAAGATACGAAGGCCAGGGCTCACTTAAAACCACCAAAAATGGTGGCCCCCAACAAGAAGCGAGGACCGCCACCACAGACTCGGTCCGTCTGCTGGCTGTCGGGCAGACACCACTGATGACCCCAGCTCCACACATCGTTAGAACTACACCAGGAGACACAGCGAGGGGCAGGAGCTCTGGGTCCCCGTAGCCCACCGGGGTGGGTGCAGAGCAGGGCTCTCGAGAGAGAGAACCTGGCAAGAATCCCGGTACAGCCCCCAAAAATCTGGGTGTCCTTGGGAGTGTTCGGCCCTTCTCTGGTGCCCAGGAGGTTAGCGAAGCCAGGCACAGAGGGCAGCGGTGCGTGGGTCACGGGGTCCGTGGACCCTGCCACATAGCGATCCGCAGCCGAGGCCACCACGCTGCCCAGCCCCGAGCGAGGGGCTGCCTGCACGCGGCCCAGGGCCACAGACCCCTGCCCACATCGGGAGACGCACCCACCACGCACCCACCATCCTTGTTTGGTGCCTTGCAATGAGTGGCATGTTTTTTTCTTTTTTTTTTTTTTCGGTCGTGGGGCTGAACTCTGGGCCTGGGCGCTGTTCCTGCGCTCTTCAGCTCAAGGCGAGCACTCTGCCCCTTGAAGCACCACTTCTGGCTTTCTGAGTGATTTATTGGAGATAAGAGTCTCGTGGACTTTGCTTCCCCAGGCTGACTTTGAACCGCCATCCTCAGATCTCAGCCTCCGAGTAGCCAGGATGACAGGCACAGTGCTAGGAATGGTGAGTGAGTGCAGGTGCTGAATTCAAATCCCAGAAACACAGAAAAGTAAAAGTGAGCCTCAGTTGTTAGGATTTCAGTTTGGAGCCAAAGTCCTGTGGATAGCTTTGGTGAGGTTTTTGTGAATGGAGCAGCTTTGCTGAGCCTGATTTCAGAGCCCGGGCGCTGTTTCATTCTGTTTTGCTTTCTTCTGACACTGTTCTGTGCTAGCACTTCCTTGCGTGGGAGCTTCCCATGGGGCGATCATGAGTGCCTTGGGATGGAGTTGGGGCCTGGGCCCCGGTGCCACAGGCAGGGTCCGGGACGCCTGGCTTCATCCTGACCTGCAAGCGTCCAGCATCTGTGAGAGGCCCGGAGCAGGGCCAGTCCCCGTGTTTCAGTGACTGCTTCTCCCCTTCCCTGTGTCTGTCTGTGGATGCCGCCATCCGTACTTCTGTTTTCTGTTGTCCCTAGCCCTGCCTGGTCCACCACCTCCACTGTCGGTGTCTCGTGATAATGCACCCAACACAGCCAGCTCCTACCTGAGCTGTACTAAACCAGCTCATTTGCATATGTTCAAAAGACTGAAGTCAGTCTTGAGTTCAAGTAGTTCTGTGACTTTTGACAAAACCCAGTCTCGATGTAAGTATACAGCCCGAGAGCATCTCCCCGCCATGACCCAGGACAGGTCATCTGCCACTCCCCAGACACATGCACAATTACAGCAAAAGAGCGAACGAGAGAAAGCTCTCTGGTCCATGTCCCATGTTGTTCTAAACCAACTTTCTGTGTTGAATTAGGTGGAAACGGCCACCGATTCGGACACGGAGAGCCGAGGGCTGCGGGAGTACCACTCGATCGGCGTGCAAGTCGAAGACGAGAAGCGGTAACTCACCTCTTCTGCATGGGCGTCAGCCATCGGTGCCTGGGGAGGGATGGCCGTAGACCCACACTCTCCATCCTACGGCCCAAGCAGGACTCGCCTTGCGCCACGGTCTTGTTTTGCACGAAGCCAGGGAATAATTCTCTCGGAAGTAATTTACCACCTGTGAAGCAGCACAGCTCCCAGCCCAGGAAAGCACATCCTCCGGCCAACGGAGAAAACCGTCTGAGGGCAGAGAAATACACATGCCTGCCTTCTAACCTAAGAGCAAAGAGGCAGACGAGGCACCAGACAGACACAGAGAGAGCACGCAGCGGCATCAGCTAGTTCTCGGAGGTGTCTTGCTTCAAAGGCAGTACTCAGAAGTGTAAAACATAGACCTGTTACAACAGCTGGCTTTCTAATGAGGGCAGAATGGCTATTTTAGCTTGTATTTGAGGACTATGTGCCACTAGCTGCATGAACCAGTGTCACTGAGAGCCCGCATCACGAGCTGCAGTGACCCCAGCGGCAGCCCCGAAGGGTTTCAGAGCCCAATCGACAAATTAGATTGCAGAGGAAGTCAGCGTGGGTTAGCGTCTCCCCCGGGTCAGAAGTCAGAGCGTGAGTGAGCGTCTCCCCTGGGTCAGAAGTCAGAGCGTGAGTGAGCGTCTCCCCGGGTCGGAAGTCAGAGCGTGAGTTGGCGTCTTCCCCGGTCGGCAGGGAACCGGGATCGCCTCTGCCCCGGGTTCCTGCCTGGCAGCTGTGCTGTCTGTGGACCGAGAGGCACAGAGCCACAAACAGGGCTGTGAGCACCTCAGAACTCAGCACACATGACACAGATGTGCCACCTGTGTGTGCCACACAGAAAGATGCGCAGACGCAACATGGCCACGCGCAGCCACACACACACCCGTGTACACACACTCCCGTCCACAGATGTGCCACACGCAGCCACACACACACACACACCTGTGTTCACACACTCCCCTTCCACAGATGTGCCACACACAGCCACACACACACACACCCGTGTTCACACACTCCCGTCCACAGATATGCCACGCGCAGCCACACACACACACACACCTGTGTTCACACACTCCCGTCCACAGATGTGCCATGCGCACACACACACACACACACACATCCGTGTTCACACACTCCTGTCCGCAGATGTGCCACGCGCAGCCACACACACACACACCTGTGTTCACACACTCCCGTCCACAGATGTGCCACACGCAGCCACACACACACACACACCTGTGTTCACACACTCCCGTCCACAGATGTGCCACGCGCAGCCATACACACACACACACACCCGTGTACACACTCCCGTCCACAGATGTGCCACGCGCAGCCACACACACACACACACCTGTGTTCACACACTCCCGTCCACAGATGTGCCATGCGCAGTCACACACACACACACACACACACCTGTGTTCACACACTCCCGTCCACAGATGTGCCATGCGCAGTCACACACACACACACACATCCGTGTTCACACACTCCTGTCCACAGATGTGCCATGCACAGTCACACACACACACCCGTGTTCACACACTCCCACCCACAGATGTGCCACGTGCGGTCACTCACACCCACGTGTCTTGTGCACACGCTCCCCATCCACACAGACACACACACCCTTTTGTGGCGCACAGGTGTGTGCTTCCTACGCATACCACATCTGTGAGACACGTGAGTGCACACACCGGTGCATGCTTTCTGCACACGCCTCACCAGCAGGCTCCTCGGCCTTCTCCATCATGGACTGTATGGAATGGCTGACACTGGAGTGCTCCCGTGGCAGTGTCCACCACCACCTGTGGCTCAGGTCCCTGGCAGGCCTGTGGCCGTCGGGACGGAGGGCGGCTGTGACCGTGTGGCTCAGGTCCCTGGCAGGCCTGTGGCCGTCGGGACGGAGGGCGGCTGTGACCTTGTGGCTCAGGTCCCTGGCAGGCCTGTGGCCGTCGGGACGGAGGGCGGCTGTGACCGTGTGGCTCAGGTCCCTGGCAGGCCTGTGGCCGTCGGGACGGAGGGCAGCTGTGACCGTGTGGCTCAGGTCCCCGGCAGGCCTGTGGCCGTCGGGACGGAGGGCAGCTGTGACCGTGTGGCTCAGGTCCCTGGCAGGCCTGTGGCCATCAGGGCGGAGGGCAGCTGTGGACCGTGTGGCTCAGGTCCCCGGCAGGCCTGTGGCCGTCGGGACGGAGGGCAGCTGTGACCGTGTGGCTCAGGTCCCTGGCAGGCCTGTGGCCATCAGGGCAGAGGGCAGCTGTGACCGTGTGGCTCAGGTCCCTGGCAGGCCTGTGGCCGTCGGGACGGAGGGCGGCTGTGACCGTGTGGCTCAGGTCCCTGGCAGGCCTGTGGCCGTCGGGACGGAGGGCAGCTGTGACCGTGTGGCTCAGGTCCCCGGCAGGCCTGTGGCCATCAGGGCAGAGGGCAGCTGTGACCGTGTGGCTCAGGTCCCTGGCAGGCCTGTGGCCATCAGGGCAGAGGGCAGCTGTGACCGTGTGGCTCAGGTCCCTGGCAGGCCTGTGGCCGTCGGGACGGAGGGCGGCTGTGACCGTGTGGCTCAGGTCCCTGGCAGGCCTGTGGCCGTCGGGACGGAGGGCAGCTGTGACCGTGTGGCTCAGGTCCCCGGCAGGCCTGTGGCCGTCAGGACGGAGGGCGGCTGTGACCGTGTGGCTCAGGTCCCCGGCAGGCCTGTGGCCGTCGGGACAGAGGGCAGCTGTGACCGTGTGGCTCAGGTCCCCGGCAGGCCTGTGGCCATCAGGGCAGAGGGCAGCTGTGACCGTGTGGCTCAGGTCCCCGGCAGGCCTGTGGCCGTCGGGACGGAGGGCAGCTGTGACCGTGTGGCTCAGGTCCCCGGCAGGCCTGTGGCCGTCGGGACAGAGGGCAGCTGTGACCGTGTGGCTCAGGTCCCTGGCAGGCCTGTGGCCATCAGGACGGAGGGCGGCTGTGACCGTGTGGCTCAGGTCCCTGGCAGGCCTGTGGCCATCAGGGCAGAGGGCAGCTGTGACCGTGTGGCTCAGGTCCCTGGCAGGCCTGTGGCTGTCGGGACGGAGGGCAGCTGTGGACCGTGTGGCTCAGGTCCCTGGCAGGCCTGTGGCCGTCGGGACGGAGGGCGGCTGTGACCGTGTGGCTCAGGTCCCCGGCAGGCCTGTGGCCATCAGGGCGGAGGGCAGCTGTGACCGTGTGGCTCAGGTCCCTGGCAGGCCTGTGGCTGTCGGGACGGAGGGCAGCTGTGGACCGTGTGGCTCAGGTCCCTGGCAGGCCTGTGGCCGTCGGGATGGAGGGCGGCTGTGACTGTGTGGCTCAGGTCCCTGGCAGGCCTGTGGCCGTCGGGGCGGAGGGCAGCTGTGGACCGTGTGGCTCAGGTCCCCGGCAGGCCTGTGGCCGTCGGGGTGGAGGGCAGCTGTGACCTTGTGGCTCAGGTCCCTGGCTGGCCTGTGGCCGTCAGGGCGGAGGGCAGCTGTGACCGTGTGGCTCAGGTCCCTGGCAGGCCTGTGGCCGTCGGGACGGAGGGCAGCTGTGGACCGTGTGGCTCAGGTCCCCGGCAGGCCTGTGGCCGTCGGGGCAGAGGGCAGCTGTGGACCGTGTGGCTCAGGTCCCCGGCAGGCCTGTGGCCGTCGGGACGGAGGGCAGCTGTGGACCGTGTGGCTCAGGTCCCTGGCAGGCCTGTGGCCGTCGGGGCGGAGGGCAGCTGTGGACCGTGTGGCTCAGGTCCCCGGCAGGCCTGTGGCCGTCGGGGCGGAGGGCAGCTGTGACCGTGTGGCTCAGTTCCCTGGCAGGCCTGTGGCCGTCAGGGCGGAGGGCAGCTGTGACCGTGTGGCTCAGGTCCCTGGCAGGCCTGTGGCCGTCGGGACGGAGGGCAGCTGTGGACCGTGTGGCTCAGGTCCCTGGCAGGCCTGTGGCCGTCAGGGCGGAGGGCAGCTGTGACCGTGTGGCTCAGGTCCCTGGCAGGCCTGTGGCCGTCGGGACGGAGGGCAGCTGTGGACCGTGTGGCTCAGGTCCCCGGCAGGCCTGTGGCCGTCGGGGCAGAGGGCAGCTGTGACCGTGTGGCTCGTGGTTCTCCTGGTGTGTAGGAGCCTCGCGGGGGCGCTGCCCCGTCCCTGAGGCTCGGGGTGGGCTGTCTGCGGCCAGCCGAGGGGCGTGTGAGGTGCGGGGCGGCCCTCCTGAGTGCCCTCCCCTCCTGTTCCAGGCACGGGCGTTTCAAGCGCTCCAACAGCGTCACAGCTGCGGTCCAGGCTGACTTGGAGCTGGAGGGGCCCCAGGGCCAGGTCGTCATGGAGGACAAGGGTCTGCAGTTCGGCTCTTCCTTCCAGCGGCACTCGGAGCCCAGCACTCCAACACAGTACGGGGCGGTGCGGACCGTGCGGACGCAGGGCCTCTTCAGTTACAGGGAGGACTATCGGACACAGGTGGACACCTCCGCCCTGCCCCCGCCCGACCCCTGGCTGGAGCCGTCCTTGGAGCCCGTGGAAACGGGGAGAATGTCTCCGTGCCGCAGGGATGGCTCCTGGTTTTTGAAACTACTGCATACGGAGACGAAGAGGATGGAAGGCTGGTGCAAAGAGATGGAGAGAGAAGCAGAGGAGAACGACCTCACCGAGGAAAGTAAGAGGCTGGGGAAAGGGCCTAGGTCTCCTGTGTGGCTGTAGATGGCGATTTCCCGGGAAGGCAAATGAGCAGGCAGCAGTGTGAGCAGGGCCAGACCCAGATGTGTGAGCGCAGACGGCCAGCCCGCTCCCCCCCGCCCCCCGCCAGCTCCCTCTCAGCCCCGAGAGCCGTAGCCACCCCAAGAGGAGGGCGGGCTGCAGCCTGGTGGAGGATGCTTCCCTCTGTCTGTGTGTGGCTTTGCCCTCAGTAGGGTGACTGAGAGCCACTGCATCAAAGCCTTTCTTAGTAGCAAACGTCTCTCATGGTCGACATCCCCGTTCTCTTGAATTATGGCACTAACGAGTTTGGAGCATTTTGGCTGTGTTCTTGTTTGTAAAACCTTGCCTTGGTGTGATGGCAAAGGAAAATGGCAGACAGGAGTTGTCCAGTCGGTGGCAAGCTTGTGGGCACAGTCTTCTCCATCGATGTGACCTTCCCAGCCATGTGACCTTCCAGCCAGACCCTCCTCTCCATCCACGTGACCTTCCCAGCCATGTGACCTTCCCATCCACATGACCTTCCCAGCCAGACCCTCCTCTCCAGCCCTGTGACCTTCCCATCCACATGACCTTCCCAGCCATGTGACCTTCCCATCCACATGACCTTCCCAGCCAGACCCTCCTCTCCAGCCCTGTGACCTTCCCAGCCAGACCCTCCTCTCCATCCACGTGACCTTCCCAGCCAGACCCTCCTCTCCAGCCCTGTGACCTTCCCAGCCAGACCCTCCTCTCCAGCCCTGTGACCTTCCCAGCCAGACCCTCCTCTCCAGCCCTGTGACCTTCCCAGCCAGACCCTCCTCTCCATCCACATGACCTTCCCAGCCAGGGCCCCCGTACAGACCTTCTCAGGTCCTTTATGGCTGGCTTACCAGGTCTCTGTCACGCCACAGAGATCAGTGGCTCAAGCCTCCCCTCCCCGAGGGTGGGGGAGGAAGGGAGGAGGGGCACGTGGGAGAGAGAAAGAAAGAGGGAGGGGAGAATGTGAGATGGACGGATTCAGAGACGTGACGTGTGCTGGGTCTCCACCCCGTGGAGTGTCGGTGGGGTTTTATTCTGACAGTGTTTGAATCTACACCTTTCAGACCCATGCTGGCCTTCCTTTGACAGTAAAATCACTGAGAATCTCGTTGCCGTAAGATGACGCACAGGGATCTGCATGTTATCGTTGTGCTTTGCTCTTCATAAGGATTACGGTTTTTAAGGCAGTGGTCCTTTGCGAGCTCTGGCGGTGGAGAGAGGATGGGGGACACCAAGGCTGTCTTGGCGACCCCACACTTACTGTCCCCGGTCTCTGCCGCTCTGCCTCTCGCCACGCCAATGTTTGCTGTCATTGTCATCGCAGCGTGTCCCACGGGCAGCGCACCTGCCTGGCACGCACGGAGCCCTGCTTCCACCCCGTGCCGCAAAACCACCACAGAAAAGCTCTGACAAGGAAAAGGAAGGGGGCGTTGAGAGTTAAGGTCTACACACACACACACACACACACACACACACACACCAGTGGAGCCTCGCTGAAGGCCAGGCTTCTGAAGTGCCTGGGAGGGAAGGGCCCAGCCTCCCCATCTTACCCCCCCCACGCGCGTCTCCCTCCTGTGTGCTCACGCACCACCCTGCAGTGGCAGCCAGTGCTGACTCCCGGCCCCTGGCCGCTCACCTCCGGATCCAGTGCCCCTGGCCGCTCACCTCCGGATCCAGTGCCCCTGGCCGCTCACCTCCGGATCTAGTGCCCCTGGCCGCTCACCTCCGGATCTAGTACCCTGGGACGCCATGCGGCCACTCACCCTGGCCACAGGGTGTGCGCCTCGACCCCCCAGGCCGTGTGCTTGGGAAATTCAGAAATGAAAGTTAGGAATCAGTTGCTTCTCCAACTGAAGATCAAAGACCTAATAATCAATGTGGCAACGCTGAAACATTGTCATAAATCACGATTGTTATCGTCTCTTCAGGACCATGTAAGAAAACTCTAGAAACTCTACTGGGAAAGTGTCGTGTGCACATTGTAGCAGCCATTGCTGGGCATCTAGGAAGCATAGCACCAATCTTCACAAGAAGTCAGCACAACTGCCTTCCAGTCGCAGTCCTGTGTATCTTTCTGAACCTGTGGATCTGGACTCTTCACTCAACAGCCATTTGCTGAGTGCTTGCTCTGCGCAGACCGCTCAGTGGTAGATAGATGTAGTGCAAAATGAGAAAGGCACAGCACGGAACCTAAACAGGAAAGCTGGGTCCGGGAGACCTGCACAGGAAGCCCGGATGCCATGATGGGGAAAGGCCGGGAAGGGCTGAGAAGATCCATGGTGGCTCTGTGAAGTGGTGGCTTTGTGCTGGATTCCCATGGTCCAGCCGCCGGACAAGGGCGAAGGAAACCGGGCAGAGCCTGGGCTGGCTTCTCTCTTGGAAGAAGGCTGTTCAACTTCACCCTGTATCCCAGCCTTCAGAGAGCAGCCTCGCCTCGGGTCCCGGTGCTCCAGCACTCTCCGGTCCTCTGGGCACCGACCTTTCCCAAAGGACAAGGTGGTCCTGTCCCCACTGCTCTGCTCCATGGGGGTCTCAGGCTCCTTGAGTGACCACGCTTAACGCTGATGGTGCCTGAGGCACTGCCTGGCACCGCTTACTCTGCAGACAAGAACATGAGGGAGGAAGAGGAGGACAGCGTTAACAAAGGCCCCTGTACGCCTCCTCCCAGCCAGACCCTGGGCTCCACCGCAGCCCCTCTGCCTCCCCCGTGGCTGCCGGCCATGTCGACTCTATTTGCATACTTCTGCTCTGCAGCAGCCAACCTCTAAATGAAAAGGCTGAGCTGCGCTGAGCACCAGCGTGTGAGCTGAGCACCAGCGTGTGAGCTGAGCTGAGCACCAGTGTGTGAGCTGAGCTGAGCACCAGCGTGTGAGCTGAGCTGAGCACCAGTGTGTGAGCTGAGCTGAGCACCAGCGTGTGAGCTGAGCACCAGCGTGTGAGCTGAGCACCAGCGTGTGAGTTGAGCACCAGCGTGTGAGCTGAGCTGAGCACCAGCGTGTGAGCTGAGCACCAGTGTGTGAGCTGAGCACCAGTGTGTGAGCTGAGCTGAGCACCAGCGTATGAGCTGAGCACCAGCGTGTGAGCTAGACCAGTGTGTGAGCTGAGCACCAGCGTGTGATCTGAGCACCAGCGTGTGAGCTGAGCACCAGTGTGTGATCTGAGCACCAGCGTGTGAGCTGAGCACCAGCGTGTGAGCTGAGCTGAGACCAGTGTGTGAGCTGAGCACCAGCGTGTGAGCTAGACCAGTGTGTGAGCTGAGCACCAGCGTGTGATCTGAGCACCAGCGTGTGAGCTGAGCACCAGCGTGTGATCTGAGCACCAGCGTGTGAGCTGAGCACCAGTGTGTGAGCTGAGCACCAGCGTGTGAGCTGAGCACCAGTGTGTAAACTGAGCTGAGCACCACTGTGTGAGCTGAGCACCAGCGTGTGAGCTGAGCACCAGTGTGTGAGCTGAGCACCAGTGTGTGAGCTGAGCACCAGCGTGTGACCTGAGCACCAGCGTGTGAGCTGAGCACCAGCGTGTGAGCTGAGCACCTGCGTGTGATCTGAGCACCAGCGTGTGAGCTGAGCACCAGCGTGTGAGCTGAGCTGAGACCAGTGTGTGAGCTGAGCACCAGCGTGTGAGCTGAGACCAGTGTGTGAGCTCTGAGCACCAGCGTGTGAGCTCTGAGCACCAGCATGTGAGCTGAGCTGAGCACCAGTGTGTGAGCTGAGACCAGCGTGTGAGCTGAGCACCAGCGTGTGAGCTGAGACCAGTGTGTGAGCTCTGAGCACCAGCATGTGAGCTGAGCTGAGCACCAGCGTGTGAGCTGAGCACCAGCGTGTGAGCTGAGCACCAGCGTGTGAGCTGAGCACCAGTGTGTGAGCTGAGCTGAGACCAGTGTGTGAGCTGAGCACCAGCGTGTGAGCTGAGCACCAGTGTGTGAGCTGAGCTGAGACCAGTGTGTGAGCTGAGACCAGTGTGTGAGCTGAGCACCAGCGTGTGAGCTGAGCACCAGCGTGTGAGCTGAGACCAGTGTGTGAGCTGAGACCAGTGTGTGAGCTGAGCACCAGCGTGTGAGCTGAGCACCAGCGTGTGAGCTGAACTGAGCACCAGCGTGTGAGCTGAGCTGAGCACCAGCGTGTGAGCTGAGCACCAGCGTGTGAGCTCTGAGCACCAGCGTGTGAGCTGAGCTGAGCACCAGCATGTGAGCTGAGCACTAGCGTGTGAGCTGAGCACCAGCGTGTGAGCTCTGAGCACCAGCGTGTGAGCTGAGCACCAGCATGGGAGCTGAGCACCAGCGTGTGAGCTGAGCACCAGCGTGTGAGCTGAGCACCAGCGTGTGAGCTCTGAGCACCAACGTGTGAGCTGAGCACCAGCGTGTGAGCTCTGAGCACCAGCGTGTGAGCTCTGAGCACCAGCGCGTGAGCTGAGCACCAGCGTGGGAGCTGAGCACCAGCGTGTGAGCTGAGCACCAGCGTGTGAGCTGAGCACCAGCGTGTGAGCTCTGAGCACCAGCGTGTGAGCTCTGAGCACCAGCGCGTGAGCTGAGCACCAGCGTGGGAGCTGAGCACCAGCGTGGGAGCTGAGCACCAGCGTGTGAGCTCTGAGCACCAGCGTGTGAGCTGAGCACCAGCATGGGAGCTGAGCACCAGCGTGTGAGCTGAGCACCAGCATGTGAGCTCTGAGCACCAGCGTGTGAGCTCTGAGCACCAGCGTGTGATCTGAGCACCAGCGTGTGAGCTGAGCACCAGCGTGTGAGCTCTGAGCACCAGCGTGTGAGCTCTGAGCACCAGCGTGTGAGCTGAGCACCAGTGTGTGAGCTGAGCACCAGCGTGGGAGCTCTGAGCACCAGTGTGTGAGCTCTGAGCACCAGCGTGGGAGCTGAGCACCAGCGTGGGAGCTGAGCACCAGCGTGGGAGCTCTGAGCACCAGCGTGTGAGCTGAGCACCAGCGTGTGAG